GCCCGCGATATCGCAATAGAAAACGGTGCCGAGGTGTTTTTAGAAAAACCTTTTTCCAAATCTGCATTCTACGGAGCTATCAGAAGCTGTCTTCAATAACCATCTTCTTCGGCGAAGTATGATTGAACATGCTGCGTGTGGTGTCTGCCACGGCGGAATGTTTAACGAGACAACCATCCGGACAGCAGATGATTAAACAATGGAACAGTGATAAGTAGTGAATGGAAAATGTTTCTATGTTGGCGATCATTGTAAACAAGACCCAGCTATTGCAGGATATAGGTGATCCCATTTATGTTTTGACGGTATGTTCCGGATTTTAGTGCTCCTTGGGCTTTCCCGGGATCTAAAGAAGTGTACCAGGCATACTGAACGGTTCCGATACTCTTTACCCGCCCGCGGATAAACTTATCGTCAAATGATGAATGGTAAGTAATAGGAGTTCCTCCAATGGATTTAACCTTTCCCCTGACCATTTCATTCTCCGACGAATTATAGTAGTCGAGTTGGCTGTCGCCAGCCTGTTTCAATTTTCCTTTTAACGACGTGTTTTCATACGATGAAAAATAATCGAATTGCAGACGCCCGATCGACTTGATCTTTCCGGCTCTTTCGGCAGCCTCATATGCACCGTAGTAAAGAATATTGCAGGTACCGATACTTTTCACTTTACCTCTCGATAATGAATCAGCGCCGGCATCGTAGTACTCCACTCTGCCGGGGAATGGCTGAAGGGCCCGGGCATAAACGTCATAGGTCAACGCTTTAACCTCCACACCCCATTCTTTGATCATGCCCTGTTCGGAGATGCGTATTTGAACACCCTGGTCGGTTAGAAAAGAAAAGAAGGAAAGATCAGACCCGTTTGAAAAGCTTACCTGGCTTAATCGCTGGGAAAAAAGCGGGTTCACCCAAATGAGCAATGCAAAGACAAATATTCTTTTCATGGTGAAATGTTTGAGGTGAACGGCCCAATTACCCGGCATTATTTGTTTTCAACGCCATTTCAAAAATACAACGACTGCGCCATACAACCACGGCGTGAATTTTGATTTATGAGCCTCCGGTATGAAATACGATGTATTAATTATTGGCGCCGGTGCCGCCGGATTAATAGCCATGAAGGAACTCTTGCGGGCCGGCTATCGAACCGGGCTACTGGAAGCCATGCCCACAGCTGGTGGCCGCATAAGTACTTTGACCGAACCTGGATTTGACCAACCTGTTGAAACCGGCGCTGAGTTCATTCATGGCAAGCTGCCACTGACTCGTAAACTGCTCGACGACGCCGGTATCAAATATCACCGGATAACAGGTAAAATGTTCAGTGTGCAAGGTGGACACTGGAATAAGCGTAGTCCTCACGAAGAACACTGGGATGAGTTGCTAAAACGGCTTAATAAGCAGGAAGCAAATATTACCATCAATGCATTCCTTGAACAACATTTCAGGGAGGAG